TGACAAATAAATCATCAACATAAATTGCCAAAATCAACAAGTTGGCTCCTTCGTTTTTCCGGTACACTGATGGTTCTTTCATGCACTTTTGAAATTTCATGCTCTTCAAAATTCTGTCAAGCTTCGTGTTCCATGCTCGAGGTGCTTGTCTTAAGTCATATAGTGCTTTCGTAAGGCGATACACTTTATGCTCGTTGCCTTTCTTTATATAGCCTTCCGGTTGCGATACATAACGGTTTCCTTCAATTCTCCATGCAAGAAAGCCGTTTTAACATCTAAGTGGTGAAGCTCCCACCCATTAGTTGCGGCTAAGGCTATAAGAAGTCGGATAGTTTCGATTCGAGCTACCGGAGCAAATACTTCTTGAAAATAAATACCGGGTTGTTGCACGTAACCTTTAGCAACCAACCTTGCCTTGTATTTATTAATGGTGCCATCTGCATTTTTCTTCAATTTGAACACCCATTTGACTCCGATTGGCTTCACCCCCATAGGCTTGTTCACGAGAGTCCAAGTATTATTCTTGTTTATCGAACTGATCTCCACATTCATGGCTTTGACCTACTCCGATTCTTTCTTCGCCTCTTCAACTGATACCAGCTCGTCATTGGTTGTTAGGAGAAGTTCATCAAGGTTATCAAGGTCAAGCTCATAATCTTGTAATCGAGTTGAAAGTTTCCTTAGTCTCGTAGGCCTTTGGTTTTGAACATTGTTCACATTATTGTTGACCAGACTTGGTTGTTCGTTATCTTGTACTTCCGCTCCGTCTTCAAACTCGTGGTTCGCCTCTTCTTCCGAGCAATCCCATGGTACTATGAACGAGCTTGGTTCTTCATCGTTGGTTCTTGCTTCTTTATGCCAATCCCACCCTTTAGTTTCATTAAAAATAACGTCTCGACTCACGATTACTTTTTGTGTCGTCAGGTCAAATAGCCGATAGGCCTTTGTACCCGGTTCGGAACCAAGATGTACTAGTGGTCTTGACCTTGCATCCAACTTCTTGAGGTTTACCAGTTCAAATTTTGCATATGCTTGACACCCAAATATACAAATGTTTTCTAAATTCGGTTTTCTTTTATACAACTTTTCGTATGGAGTTGTATCACCAAGGGCTCGTGTGTAAACACGATTGATCAAGTTGGTAGAGTGTTTTACCGCTTCTCCCCATAAGTAGTTTGAAACATGCATTGCCTTCATTATGCTTCGTGTCATGTCCATAAGTGTTCGGTTTCTTCATTCCACAATTCCGTTTTGTTGCGGTGAATATGGGGCGGTAAGGTGGCGTTTAACTCCGTTTTGATCACAAAATGTTTTAAACTCGAGAGAAGTAAACTCACATCCTCGATCACTTCTAAAAACTTTCAAAGGCTTTCCGGTTTCATTCTCCACCAAAGCTTTGAACTTTTTGAAGTGTGTAAACGCCTCACTCTTTTCTTTCATTAGATAAATCCACATAAATCGTGAAAAGTCATCAATTAGTGTGAAAACATACCGATTTTGACCCTTGGTTGCCGGTGTGATCGGACCACATAAATCGCCGTGAACTAGTTCCAATGGTCGTTTTGCTTTGTATGTCGTCATAGTCGGGAATGACTTTCTTGTTTGCTTACCCACCAAGCAAGACTCACACAGTTGATTCTCATGATCAAATTGGGGTAACCCTTTAACTAGACCTTTCTTGGACATCTTTTTCATTGACTCGAAATTGATGTGCCCGAGTCTAGCATGCCATCGCCACGTATCCTCACTTAGTCTCGAATGAAGGCAAATAGGTACTCCAATTTTTAATTTTATTTTATAAAGGCGGTTTGGAGTTCTTTGTACCTTCATTAATAAACAATTATTGGCATCATGCATGGTCAGAACGTTGCCTTTCACTCGAATGTCACACCCGGCTTCCGTTGTCTGACCAAGGCTAATGATGTTGTTCTTGAGATCCGGTATGTAATAAATCTCCGTCATCAGCCTTTGTTGACCGTTCTTGCCTTAATATGACACCTTTTCCCTTGATTTTTACACATGAATTATCTCCAAATTTAACCTTCTCGGTTATTCCTTCATCGAGTTCGGAGAAAAACGACCGGTTTCCCGTCATGTGATTGCTCGCCCCGTTATCCAAATACCACACATCGTTATCTCGTGAGTCGTATTGAGACGGTATCACCTTTTCTTCATTTATAAACATGGTCTCGTGTAAAAATACGGTCGCTTCGATATCGTTACTTTTGGTAAAATTACTTTCTTGTAATTTTTGAATTCGGTCCGGACATTGAGACGCGAAGTGACCCGGTTTATCACACCGGTAACAAATAATTTTGGATCGGTCTTTTTTATTTTCCCTTTTCGGGTCATTATTGGACTGATTTGTGGACCGAGTTGATTTGCGGTTGTTATTGGCCTAATGCTGTTTGGCCTTTCCACCATGAGAAGCCCGGTTAGCATTGTTTGATCCACCAGACCCATTCGAATTATAAGACCCGTTAGGACCCGGCCCCTTCGATCTCCCCTTCTATGACTTCCGATTCGCACTTCCACCATGGTCAACTAACAGAACCTGCGGTTGATCCTCACCACTGATTTCGTCCTCCCTTATCCGCTCCTCATAAGCCTTTAATCGCCCCACTACATCTTTGAAGCCAACGGTTTTCAAATCCAACACCTGTTCCAAAGAGGCGACAATATGAATGAATTTTACCCTCGGTAGCGACTTCAGGAATTTCTTCACCATCTTTGGTTCATCAATCGATTCACCTAATGCTGCTGCCTTGGATGCAATTCCAGATAATCTTCCAGTGAAAGAGTCRATCGACTCCGACTCWKTCATCTTCARTCGATCAAAATCGGACATCAAAGTCTGTAATCATGCCTCCTTCACACGGTCAGCCCCCATATGCCTTGATTTGATTGCATCCCAAAGTCCCTTAGATGAATCTTGTTCACCGATTTGGATTATAAGATTTTCAGGTATCGATTGGTAAATCAAATCCATTGCTAAATCATGTTTATCTTGATTTTTTGTAGTTCCTGGTTCAATTATCTCCCAAGCCTTATGAATCTTTAATACAACCTTCATCCTCATAGCCCAAACGGTGTAGTTCGTCGACGTGAGCATTGGACAATGCACCGAGGTGGCTCCGGTCTCTTTCTCCTTCGTCGACGTACCGGCAGGTGTTTCTGCTCCTGACATGGTGACCGACTTGTTCACYAGGAAGGTAATTCGATCTCACAGCCTTCGGTTCTTGGCTCTGATACCAATTAAAGTTTGGTATTGAATAATTGCAAAACTAAATAACCAAAATCACTCTTTGATTAATGTGAGAAAACTACTCAAAACTCACGGTGTTTACAATGTTTCAAAAGATTAAAAAAACTCAATCTAAAACAATGTATTTATAGAAGCTAATAACCGACTTGTATTAACTTATAATTAGGAAAGTATGAACCGACTTGTCATTGTTTCCATAATCGTGATTGCTTGGACCCCAAGACTTAGGATTCCAACATAGGACAATATACAAGATGGGTAGAAAGAATTGTGATACATGTCTCTATCCAGGGAAACTACAAGATCTAAAAGAATATCCCAATCCTAAGGATCCATAGGATTAATTGTGGATCCAACACAAAAATAGAAAGATTTGAGTTGTTTAGTCTTCGAGTTTTTATTTTAAATTTTSTATATCTATACTATATAAGTATGTATCTATCTAAATTATATGAATGTTGGATTCGACTCAATCCTTTTAGTAAAAGATTAGGCCGAGTTTAATTGAAATTCAATTAAGAGAACGAACGTTATTTATCCAGATATATTTTACATTTCAGTATTGGTACTCTTAAAGATATATTCTCTTTGAAGTTTTACTGCTTCTAAAAACCCTTTTTCTGAAGTCTCATTTTTAAGTTAACTTTTGTGACTTTCTTTACATTTTAAATCTCTGTGGAACGATAATTTACTTGTTTTGGACGATACTTGTAACTCATGTATACTTGCATAATTTACTTGTTATTATAACATTTTGAGGGTATAGATTCCTCCACACCAAAGAGTCAAGAAAATACGATAATTTATGTATAAAACGAGAGCATAAAATTCAAATACTTCAAACCGTAAATCACAATTAGATCAGATTTGATTGGATTTCTCTACACCAAAAACACAAACCTCACACCTCTTATTTATACTAAGCTAGAGGGGGGCAAAGTGAAAATTAAGCAATCTTGGTCCCCTAACTTTAAAGTACATAAAAGTCAATTAACTGAACAAAAGCTTAAATTTTGTAAGATACAACTAAATGGGCGTTTACTAAGTGCTTACCGGGTAATAGTCATCATTCTTACCTACTTATCGGGTAACATTCTCGGCCATCAAAATAGATTGGTGGTAAGTGTCTTTTATCCGATAAACGCTGATCAAGTAAAATTCTTCTGCCCCACTTATTGGGGTAAGATTCTTGGTCCTTGCAACTTACTGGGTGAGATTCTTAGTTTTTGCCATGTTCATCCAGTAAGGTAAGTGACACTCAATAAACGTTTAGTAAACGGCCCCCAAGTCAAAAAATATAAAATAACTAAAAGCTTAAGATTAAAGTAATTAATAGTTTAAGATAATGTCTAGTTGATTTTTTTCTTCAAGATACAAAGATTTGTCTTTTAGCCGTGGTTTCCACTTGGTCTCTATGTTTTTATCTTTCAATTCAATATTGTGTCAATGCTGTAACATGAGATATAATACAAACTGCTTGTCAAAATGGTCAAATTAACATTCCATAGAGTAAAAACAAGTAAATCACAATTTTAGCTCTATAAAATAAATAAATAAAAAATAAGATAACAAACTTTGAGATATAAAAAAAAAATAACCTATCTAAGAAATGAGTGATTAAGCAATAAATTTGTCAGGTTTTTTTATATAATTGTCCAAAATATTTCCAACTTACCTGGTGAAAGCGATCACCAGTGTTTGTCGATTGTCATTTGGGTTAGTCGGGCGCATAGTCCGCTACCAACCTAATGGCTACAGTTGCGCAGGTTGCCAACGGCGTCGGAATCGGAATCGGAATCGATGTGCGAAAAGGTAGCCTCAGCCGCCGAGCCACACCTACTATGTCCAATCCCTCACTAATGGCGAACAGAATCTTTTTCGGGTTGACTGCCCGACGCGCTGCCCCTCTTCGTTTTGACTCGGTTGTTTCCATCCGTGGTGGGTTCTCCAACTACCACCGTTTTCTCCCGCCGCCGGTGTCAGTGCTTCCTAGAGCTTGTCCGGCTGATCAGCCTACTCCTTCAGGTTGCTCCTAACTCTTGTCAAGATTTTCTTAACATATGTATCTATGTATATGTTTAAACCTTGCAATCAAACAAAGTGAAGTAGATAGAATGTATGCACACTGTATCGATTTGAATGAAACAATGAATGACTAACCAATATACAACAGCATTATCAGCTTGTGCTAGAATCTACATTCCATGGTTCAGGAAGATGCTGGATGTATGCTATTGTGAGCAGTAAACTTGAGGAGCTGTCCCATTTTACATTAAGTGGATACAGGATTTTAGATAAATAGGAAACAGTGGCTTGTATATTAGTTGGAATAATATAGGGCAAATTGTAGCATAATTAATCATGTTGCTATCTTGCAGGAAGTGGTTTCGAGTCTAGTAAAATCATTCTCATTGCCTTTTTTTATGAAATCCCTGATTACTTCACAAATTTCTGTTACAATCACTATTGAGAACAAATAAAATTATAGATTTAAGACATCATACAAATGGAGATTGATTTTAACTAATGGTCTTAAACAAGGCAGCCTTGTAGGAGTCATTTATTGATAACCAAGTATAATGTGAATACTTTGACAAGCATGTGTCATGTGTGCATATAATTTTTGGAGTAGCAGTAATGAAGACACTAGATATATTTGTTCACTTTCTTTTGTTTGGAAGAAAAGGCTATAAAAAGAATATAACCTGTAAAAATTTGAGACAGAAGTTTACAAGTAAAGGGAAAAAGAAGGAGCAAAATGAATTTCCTCACTTAAAAGATTTGTGTACTATGATAATATATGCCGATCCCTAATCTCACAAATAGATTTCGGTAAAAGGATTGGCTTAGCATGTCAAGATCAAATACCTGATTTGAGTTTAAAGCGTGTTAGGGCAAAGTCTACCTGTGGATCTATCCATTCTGTCTGGTATTAGTTGGATGAAGGATAGGGATCTTTCAATTATCAGTTCCCGTTTTTGCTATTTCCCCTGTGTGGACATAGATTTACTGGATTTAGTATGCAAGGGTGCAATAGTATAGATAGCAATTAGTCATTGAAATTTTCATGGGGCATAGAATTCTCGAACCAATAGCTAGGAGGATACATTCAAATGACTCATTTTAGTGTGTCTTGACTGATTATATTCTCAAAGGACATATCAACATATGTTTAGGATCAAATGAATTGCTTAAAACGGTGGTTATTCTTGTTATTTGAGGGTGCATATATTGGAATGATGTACTCCTTGGAGTTATCATACTTATTGGGATTTGAGCTATGAAATTCAACGTTTTCTTATCCTTGTGTAAAAGTTTCACCTAGTAATGTTTTTATGCTATGATTGCAGGGGAAGGTGTTGAAAATTTGGTAATCATAGGTTCAGGCCCTGCTGGTTACACAGCAGCAATCTATGCAGGTCGTGCCAATTTGAAGCCTGTAGTGTTTGAGGGATATCAAATAGGCGGTGTCCCTGGTGGACAATTGATGACTACCACAGAGGTTGAGAACTTTCCAGGGTTTCCGGAGGGAATCACTGGTCCAGACTTGATGGATAGGTTTGAAGTAACTGTAGTTAGTTGTTTCCTGCATATCTATTCCCTTCTTCTGCTTAAGTTGTTATTGTTTTTCATTGATGAAAGGAGTAGAATCTTACTTTTTTGGTAACTAGGATGCGGTGTCAAGCAGAGCGTTGGGGAGCAGAGCTTTTCCAAGAAGATGTGGAATTTGTTGATGTGAATAGTAGGCCTTTTACTGTACAAAGTTGTGATCGTAAGGTGATGCTTCATTCTATAAACTGTGTTTAATTTTCAGCTTTGAATGTGTGGTCAGTGAGCAGAACCTTTCATTGACTTAAAGACCAAGTTTAAACTCAAGTCAATAAATTCATAGGGAGTCAACTCCTTTTAAGAAAAGTTACTTGCTAGGATTATAAGTCGGTAAACATAAACCCCCATTTTTTCTTATTTTCTTTTCTGAGTAACAAGTATGTCATATTTTTCATATTAAGCTATTGATATGTTATGGTCAATGCATACAAACTTTATGGCAACCAAGTACTTATGACATTACCTAACGTATTATATTTATTCGTTGTAACCGGAAAGACCCAGTGTTCTAATAGGTCGCCATGGCGCGAGCCGTAAGGCGCATCTCGCTGTTGCAATAGAGCCTATAGCGTTTCTTTAAGGTGTGGCTCACTCGATGGCACCTTGAGGCGCGACACGGCTGTGACCTCTTTCAAAAAAATAGTATTTTATAGATTTTTTTAGCTTTTGTGTACACTTTCTACTTTAGATTGTACACTTTTATAGATTTATCAAATCATATCGTTCCTAGTTTCATGAATTCACACACGTCATGGACTCACGATTAAAAGAAAGCTGTAAAATTACCCTTCCGAGTTCTATTTTGAATATTTGTCAAAGACTATATATAATACTAATTATATGATTTTTCTCCTAATATGAATGTAAATATTTAAATATCATTATCTCATTGAATAATATATAAAAAACATATATGTATATATATAATTGCATATATGACATTTTGCCGCCTTATATCACGCCTTGGAAAACACCGCTTCCTTGTCGTGGTGTGTAAGGATTGAGGCTTGACCTTGCCGCCATGACATGCCTCACGCTGTTTAGAACCTTGGTAATACCTACTCTTCATAAAAATATATACACTTGTAAGCATTAAGCATTCACTACTAAAATATTTTACTAACGCACATGGTGTACCAAAATAATGTATCTAATGAGACCACCCCTCAAGAACTATTTACCACCAAAAATCAAATAGAACCCTGAAGTCCTTGAAAATTTCTTTCATCTGTGAACTATAGCCGGTGCTTATAAAGATTGAGCTTTTTGTCTTCTTTCAGGTAAGCTGCAATAGTATTATAGTGGCTACGGGAGCGACTGCTAAACGACTCAATTTACCTCGTGAAGAAGAATTCTGGAGTAGGGGAATTAGTGCATGTGCAATCTGTGATGGAGCTTCACCACTTTTTAAGGGTCAAGTTCTTGCTGTTGTTGGAGGAGGCGATACAGCAACCGAGGAAGCAATATATCTGACTAAATATGCAAGTCACGTACATTTACTTGTACGCAGGGATCAATTAAGGGCATCAAGAGCTATGCAGGACAGGTTAGAAAATATACGCTCTATGTTTCCTATTTTTTGATAGTGATTGCATTCAGTGCAGTTGTTACGAGTCTATTTAAACCTTTCTCCATTCCATTGTAGTTTAAACCTGTTATCACTCATTTGCTCCCTCAATTGTAGTGATATTGATTGCATTCAGTTCGGTTGTTACAATTCTATTTAAACCTTTCTCCACTCCATTGTAGTTTAAACCTGTTATCACTCATTTGCTCCCTCAATTGTAGTTCCATTTGCTTGCAAGAAATGAAACTTTTCATGTTTACTGTTTGCTTAGTGCTTACCATTTAGGTGAACTAAATTGCTAATGATTTATTGTAGTTTAAGTTTCAACTCCGTGAATGTTTGTATAACAGGTTGATTCTGGCGAATGTTTCAGAATTCTTGATAATCCAAACATCACAGTGCACTTCAACACAGAGACGGTTGATGTTGTCAGCAATACTAAAGGGCAGTTGTCTGGCATCTTGATCAGAAGACTTGATACAGGAGAGGAATCAGTACTGGAGGCCAAAGGATTATTTTATGGAATTGGTCATTCTCCAAACAGCCAATTGCTGGAAGGCCAAGTTGATCTTGATGACACGGGATATATTTTAGTTCAGGAGGGGACTGCAAAGACATCCATTGAAGGGGTGTTTGTTGCTGGAGATGTTCAGGTAATTTACCGAAGGATTTTATCGTATGTCTTTGTCTTCAACCTTGCTTCTATATTTTGTGGATTAGGGAACATATTCATGCCATGATAACGTTGTTAACCCTCATCATTTTAGAAGCAGCGGCTTATTTTGACATGTCCTTGGATTAGGGGTAAAAGTGGATTGGATCCAGATTGGCTATGATCATATTCATGTCCACATCTACTTGTAATAAACATGAACGAATATGACATTAGGGTTGGGTTCCAGTGAGAAGGGAAGTTATGGTTAGAAGCGTAAGAAGAGATCTCCACCCTTGGATCAATCCTTATTGAATGTCAACGTTAATGAGGTGCATCGCACCGAGATGCACCAGATCCCTTCTAAAGCGCAATTCATGGGTAGGCATGAAATTAGAAGTGATCAAGGGTTCAGATCTCTTCTTATGCTTCTCACCATAACTTCTCTTCTCTCACGATCATTCACCTTTGATATTATCTTCTATGTGATATGGATTGAGTCTAACTCATAGTTATCTGCATCTATATGATAATTCAACATCTTGGTAATAGTGATAAAAACTTGTGATGCAATGAGCAACGAATATAAATGTTGTCAAGTGCTAAAACCTTACGTATTAGGAAGCAGGAGTGCTCTACCGCTTGCTGAATGTCTGTATTCAGGTGCTCTGAAGGTGTGATTCTTCAAGGAGGTGAAGGGTGCATACCTCATGCCGTATTAACCATATCCCCAAGTTATTGACCATGAATTCACAAGGATACTATAGTGGGGATACACAAAGGAAATTTTTGTTTATCATTTTACCAAAACAGAACAAAATTTACAATTTCTGAAACTAAAATAAACTTAAGTTTTTGATAGTGATTGTGAAACAGGAAAGACAATACGATGCAACAAGTTACTTTTGTGACAATTTTGGACTATTATGGGCACACTAACTTTTTTCTTTATTGATTTGGTTTTATACTTGAATTTATGTACACGCATATGCACCTATATAAAAGCACCCCTATATCCTTAAATTTTTAGTCTCTGAATCCTGACATCCATGTGTTGTGCACCTATATGCTTGTAACATATAATATTAAACATATTTTCTCTATTTTTTTCCTACAATGTTATTATTTTTAATAATTTACATATTCTTAGTTGCATTTAATGTATTATACTGAAAATTTTAGAATATCTGATGTTTCAGGATATTGGTTATTTCCGATAGATATATGCCCATGTACATTCTGCAATCACTTAACAGACACAGATCACTTGCACTGTATATAGATTCAGATTCGGATGGATATGCAGGTCATTGGATTTGGATATCCTATCTGGGATAATGTTCAGATTTCTTCAGAACCTATGTGAAACGTGAATTTTCTATGAGATCTTTATTTCTACATGCAAGTATGCAACTGACCTGCCTGTAGCATATTGACAATAGTTTATGATTTCAACACGCTAAACTTTGATTTTCACCTTAGTTTTCAGAGTATGAGGATTTAGACCCATGGTCACCACATTCCTGTTTACCCAAGGCTTCCATTTTATTCATTCCCCCTTCTAATTGTTGGTTCAATTTTTTTATTTGTTTTTGCTCAGAAGCATGGTTACTGTTATCTCCTGCTGATGCTGTAAATATCTGTTTTTTGGATACAATTAGATCTTTAGGTGTTCTTTAAAAGAAAACTCCTGGAGACCTGGCCTATCTTTGATCTTTAGAAGTCGTCAATATACTAGCCCTATGCTAGTTTTTTGGAAGCTTGTGTGAAGTTGTAATCATCCTCATATATCCAATATTGTCAACTTTTTTTATAGGACCACGAATGGAGGCAAGCTGTAACTGCAGCTGGATCAGGATGCATTGCTGCTCTATCGGTGGAGAGATATCTTGTCAGCAATAATCTTCTTGTTGAATTTCATCAGGTATTTGGTGAATCTTATAGTGTTCCACATCCATCTAACCAGTAACCAGTATGTTGGTTTACCAGTTGCTTAAATGCACATTATGACAAACTTTTAGTATAATTCCTGGTCCATATTAATTATTATGCTTATAAAAGTGTCTTGAAAAGAAAAGCATTCCCTATCCAAACTTTTGCAAAGCAATGTTTTTATACTTATTCTCTGTCCAAAAACCTTTGTAAAGCAACTTTTTTTTTGGGATCATGCAACTTTTTTATTTGTCTTTATATCACAATGTGGATTAACAATAACTGATATTTTTTCACTTTCGTTCTTTTTACAGCCCCATCCTGAAGAAGTTAAGGAAGAGGTCACACAAAGAGATGGGGAGGAAGGATTTGACATTACACTTACCAAGCACAAGGGCCAGGTATAAGTTGGGAAAATAGTTGCTTTTCTTTATGCCTACATCTTCACAAGATATCTGCTGCATGTGGTCTCATTTTTCTTGTGCTCATGCTTACCTTTTTTTCTCTTCTCTGCACAGTATGCAGTACGGAAATTGTACCATGAAAGTCCCAGGCTCATTTGTGTATTATATACCGCACCAACATGTGGTCCATGTAGGACCTTGAAACCAATTCTCAACAAGGTAATATTTACTCGTTCCAGCATTTTAACACAAGCTTTCGTATAATCTGACTGCTGGGAATTTGTACGAAAAAGTACTTGTTTTAATCCTTGAAAGACAACCTATAATGAGCAAAACATAATTCACTAGATTAACATGGAATAAACAGAATATATATCATTGGACTATCATAGTACAAGGGAGGGTATGTAGATATATGATCGAGAAGATAGAAGGTCTCATGTTCTACTGTTAATGCTATTTGTTGAAAATAGCATTCAGACGGACTAAATGATTTTGTGCAAAAGCATACGAGGAGCAGATAAGTAAAAATATACCCCCCTTCCAATTTTCCTTGGCAGTACTCTTCAGTGTGAATGAAGTCTTTCAATAAATATGTGGTACATTATATGTAAAATGTATGAACATCCATTAATTAACTTCAGGTGATCGATGAGTTTGAGCAGAATGTACATTATGTTGAGATTGATATAGAAGAAGATGCGGAAATTGCAGAGGCAGCCAATATCATGGGTACACCGTGTGTCCAATTCTTTAAGCATAAAGAAATGATCAGGTTGGGATATCTTCTTGTTTTTTCTATTTTAGGAAGGTTTTTCATATAATAACAAGACAAGTTTCGTAATCACTTACTTAAAATTCTGAGTTCCATGAACGGATTGATATTCAGGAGTTTATCAGGGGTGAAAATGAAGAAAGAGTACAGAGAATTCATCGAAGCAAACAAGTGAGCTTTTATATAAGCTATCAACTGGGTTTATTGTGAACCAATTTTGATACTCTAAACTCGTTTTGCCGTAGCAGACAGTTTCCCGATGCTTAACTGTTGTATTTTGGGAAGTTTATCGGATATTTGAAATCAGCTATAGCATGCACATTTCTTTGGGTTTGGATCATTCACAGGTTTAGCTGTATGTTGGTTAAACTTTTGATATTTGGGTTGCATGTAATGTAATTTGTCGCTGGTTTTGTTGTTAAATCATTGAACGAAGAACACAAGTTGTGGGGCCAATTGTTGATGGTAGACCCATGGAGTGTCCTTGCTAATTGATTCCAAGTTTGTTACATGATTGTAGCGATCCATTCTATTAACTTTTTTTATGTGTAATTGTGGGTATCTGGGTTAGTTTGTACGTACCTCAGCTAATCCCATAGGATTTAGTAGTCTTTAGTCCATTCTTTTTACGATCAACACAAAACTTGTATACATAACCTTAGAAATCTGTTCAAGAATCAAGACTGTTGGTTAAAAGTTGATATGAAACAGTCCTTGTTTTGGATTGTTCCTATATGATAGCTTCTACTTGGAATTGTAATAATGACTTGATTGTGTATTCTAACAAAATTTCAGATGCATATCTCCACACGTATGAATATCTAGGTTGCGTTAGATAAATGAAATATTTAATAATATAATCAATATTTGTAATATTTAAAATAGAGAATTCGTTGGAGTTGATATATTTTTGTTTTAAACATTTTGAGTTTCATTCTCAATTTTGGAGAGAATGTTAGAGAATCTGTTGGAAATGTTCTTACGGGTCTTTGATCAATCTTAAAGGTGCATTTGCTCGACAAAAGTGTTGGATCCGCCACATGTTAGATCTACTTTGTGTACCTTCCGAATCTCCGATGCTATGACAATATGTTGCCAAAATATCGTTACAACATGAACATATACAGTCTATGATTTAATGAAGAGACTCTGATTGAAGTGGGTGAAAACATACTCGAGTCTTATAATTCCATGTTATAGACAAACAATATGAACCAAATGTATAGGATGTCTATCGATCAGAACCAGATGCACAATCCCTAGTAGAGACCAAGACCGGTTACTAAAAGTCCAACTGGTTACGATTTATTAAAGTCGGACCATTTACCTTTGTTTCTCTTATTTCATATGATCATTTTCCGGACCATTTTGCCCCTTTGCTTCAATGTAATAAATGTCTCAGCCACGGTTCATTCACACAAATCAAATACTCTTAAAACCTTGGAATCAAACAATCGTTCATGTTCTTGAAGTCCTATTTTTTGTGTGGTTGACAAAAGGGCGGGATTACTTTGCTCAAACACATCTTCAAATCTCTCTTCTCAAACGTTAGATGAGTAAGCCAAAAAAATATCCCTTTACACTTGAAAGTGGGTTCCGTGTGGGACCCATGGGGTTACCTCTAATCAAAATTTTTATTAAATTAATAAAATAATAATTAATTCTTAATATAAAAAGGTTGTTTTATATGATGGTGATGATGCGGAGAGAGTAGTGAGTGAGGGTAATCCTGTAAACAAACATGATGTCTAGCATGTGGTGGAAGCATGGATTAGTTGCCACCCACTTCCTTACTTTGCCAATATTTATTCCAGCAAACTACGTCGTTTTAATTTATTTAAATTTCATTTTGATATTATTGCTCCTAACTAATTTTCGGTTTTGCGGTAGATATGCGTGTGCACTTTTATTTTTTGTATTTAATTAATACAAAATGATTAATTAATAATCAAACTTTGCAACAAAAATTATAATGATTAACTAGAAGAGTACTCGTGCAATGTATTGAGACACATTTCGATTTTAATGTTTTATTTTTTTATCTATGTCGATATAATACGATTTTATATGTTTTGAGAAAACGATAATGTTTTTATTTTTGAATAAACTATAAATTTGAAAATATCATATAAAATTTACAAAAAAATATATCAATATTAGTATCAAATTAACTATTTAAAAGTTTTTTTTTTTTGTATTTTTTTAATTAAATT